CTAGAAGGCATAGGGAATAACAAGATTAATCATCTGCCATAATAGAAATGGAGACTTGAGAGCTAAGACAATTCAACTCTAGAGGAATAAAGAGCTGTTTCTGCACCTTGTGATCCTCATGGCTGCGTGGGATGTGGGTGTGCTATGAGGAATTGATGATTAAACTGTCAGCAGCAAATACAAAGGTTTTTGGTAGGAACAGCATTTTGAGGACAAACCTCCCATGGCCAAAGGTATGAAGATAGACAAAGATGTATAGACAGTCCATCCACTTGTCCTCTCGCTCTTCTGATCAGCAGTGTCCAGAGGCCTTGCTAAGCTCGGGCCTCCTTTGGAGCTGGACAGTGGGCTCCCCAAATGTCACGCCCACTATTGCAGGGCAGACACTTGGCACTTGATGTCAGTGATTACAAAAAAAAAAAACATGATTGTTTGGAATACATGATTATAGTGTAAATTCAGTAATTACTGAATAAACAAGAAAACACCTGAGTAAGCATGCCTAGCACTGCACTAATCAAAACCACCCCTGGACGTTGCAGAAGAGAGTCCTGTCTGATTCTATACTCCAGCCCTTGTTAGTTCTGATCTTTCAAACCTTCTCCTCAACATCAATCCCAGAGAATTCCCAGAGAGCTATGACAAAAAGGGGTGTGTGTGTGTGTGTGTGTGTGTGTGTGTGTGCATGTGTATGTATATGTGTGTATGTATGTGAGTGTATATAGGAATGGTGGATATAAATACATACATATATGCTTTTATGTGCATATGCATAGAAGCATATATTTCTATGTGCATATATAATATAAATGCACACATATATGCATTCGTGTACATGTCCATGTTTGTGTATATGTGTATATATATATATGTATATGTATATATACATGTGTGTATCAAAGTATTATTTCCTCAGAAGAGAAATTAGAAGGATGAATTCAACTAGAGGCAAGACAAGTCTACTAAGGATTTCAAGAGAGAAAAAGAGGAAATTTTGCCCCAAACTGATTGTCTTATCTAGTAACGGAATGCTCATGTTACTGGAGGAGCAATATGCCTAGCTAAAAGATGGCATTTCTCAACTTCCTCTGCAGATGGGAGTGATCTTGAAGCTAAAAGCAGAAGCAGCAGAAGCAAGCTTCAGGGAAAATTCTCTTTTTGCTTTTTGCCTTCCCCTTCTTCCTGTTTGGATCTTAAATATGGTTGCTGGATACTAGCAGCCACATGGTGAACCTAAGAAAGTAAGCCACAGGCTTAAAGAGACATGCTAGAATGACAGAAGGGAAAAGAAATAGTCCAATAGTGAACCAATCTTACAACTTTATTTCATGGATTCAGCAAATATTTATGAAGAACTGATTGTGAGTTATGCTCCTCATTGGGTACTAGAAATACAAAGTTAATTTGTTCAGACCTTCCCCTTGAGAAATTCATAGTCTAGTAAAGGAGAGAGATGTATAAAGCAGTAATTATGGGATGATACATAATCTTAAAAGTATTTTGAAATACAATAACTATAGAAGCTCAGAGTATTGTACTTCAAAATATTTCTCTTCTGCCATAATATATTTGATTCATATCATTTTCATTTTCCAGGAATTTATAAATACACTGAGAGTTCATTGGCCACATCTATAACGGTATTTGAAACTCACTCTTAAATTAAATTAAATTCAACAAATAATTACTGAGTACTTGGCATATGCAAGACATTGGCTAGGTTTTATGAGGCATACAAAAATGATGGAGCAACAGTCGGTTACTATGTAGCTTTCTGTGAGTCCCTGAGAGGCACAAGGCATGATAAATCCTCATGGCCAAGAGAGTCATTCTTTTCTTTAGAATCCTCCATTGCAAGAAAGACTTTTTAAAAAATACAGCAAAATAATACCTGTTATGGAGGAAGGCCAGTTAATAAATGTAGAAAGAATGCTAAGCTAGAAAATCAGCATTTTGCATGCCCAAGTGTAATCACTGATTTAGGCAAGGGTCATTAACAGATGTTAAAATCAAGAGTTGCATTGCACATTTATTAGAATGGCTAAAATTCAAAGCACTGACAATACCAAATGCTGATGGGATGCAGAGCAACAGGAACTCCTATTCACTGCTGGAGGAAAGCAAAATGGTTATAGCCTCTTTGGGAGATAGTCTGGAAGCTTCTTACAGCACTAAACATACTTTTACCACATGATCCAGCAATTGTGCTCCTTGGTATTTATCCAAAGGAGTTGAAGAGTTATGTTCACACAAAAACCTGCACATAGATGTTTATAGAAGCTTTATTTGTAATTTTTAATACTCGGAAGCAATAAAGATGTCTTTAAGCAGGTAAATGGATAAAGAAACTGTGGTACATCCAAATAATGTCATATTATTTAGGGCTAAAAAGAAATATAAGCTGTTGGCCGGGCGCAGAGACTCACGCCTGTAATCCCAGAACTTTGGGAGGCAGAGGCAGGTGGATCACGAGGTCAGGAGTTCAAGACTAGCCTGGCCAATATGGTAAAACCCAGTCCTACAAAAATTACAAAGGTTAGCTGGGGGTGGTGGTGCAGGCCTGTATTCCCAGCTACTTGGAAGGCTGAGGCAGAAGAATCACTTGAACCTGAGAGGCGGAGGCCACAGTGAGCTGAGATCTGCCACTGCACTCTGGCCTGGTGACAGAGCAGGACTCTGTCTCAAAAAAAAAGAAAGAAAGGAAAGAAATAAGCTGCCAAGCCATGAAAAGACACAGAGGAACTTTTTTTTAATTGTACTGTATGTTCTGGGGTACATGTGCAGATCATGCAGGGTTGTTGCATAGGTACACACATGGCAAGGTGGTTTGCTGCCTCCATTCCCCCATCATCTATATTTGGCATTTTTCCCCACGTTATCCCTCCCTACCCCCCACTATCTCTCCCCTAGACACCTTCAACTGGCCCCAGTGTGTGATGTTCCCCTTCCGACACAGAGGAACTTTACATGCATATTACTAAGTGAAAGAAACTAATCTGAAAAGGCTATGTACAGTATGATTCCAACGATACAGCTAGTGCTCGACTTACGACCATGATTGGGACCGTGGACCGGTCGTAACACGATTTGGTCGTAAGTTGAGTAGGCTATATGTACAGTTGAAATGGTGCACGCGGAGATGGTAGTGCTGCCGGAAGCTGGTCCGCACTGTCGTCCGCCCAGCTGGGCAATGTTTGCGCTGCCAGACGCGGAGCAGTCGTGGCTAGCGATTGTGGTCGTAAAGTCGAATGGTCGTAAGTTGCATAGGTGGTAAGTCAATCAATACCTGTATGACAATCTAGGAAAGGTAAAACTATGGAGACAGTAAAAAGGTCTGTGGTTCCCCAGGGTTAGGAGGAAGTGGGGATAAGTAGGCAGAGCACAGGGTATTTTTAGGGCAATAAAACTATTCTGTATGATCCCGTAATCATGGACACATGTCATTATACACTTGTCAAAACCCATAGAACATACGACACCAAGAGTGAGCCCTAATGTGAACTATGGACTTTGAGGGATAATAATGTGTCGATGTAGGTTCATCAATTGTAACAAATGGACCCTTCTGGTGGGGGGTGTTGATGTTGAGAGGACTGGGCAGGTGGGGAGTATATGGGAACTCTGTGCTTTCAATTTCCTGTGAACCTAAAGCTGCTCTAAAAATAAAGCCTATAGTTTAAAGAACCATTAGGTGAAAGATTATAGGGAGCAAGAGCCACATGGTGCCCAAATGCCATTCCTCAGACTTCTAGTGATTACAGAGTGGGAAACATGCCTGTACAACGGAGAAAGCTTGTGGTCACCGCCTTCCCCTAGTGACTGAATTTACCATTATTAATGATGGAACAGCCTGACACTAGACATTATAATGTGTTGCAATAAAGTGCTCCATAAAGATACTTAATCTGAGTATAATCAACTCTCTAACTCTAACTTGAAGTTTGAAGAAGATGGGGAACAGAAATCCAGTTAAATGACACCATGAGAAAAGAAAGACAAATAGAGAATATGGGACATTCTACCTGACATTTGGCCTGAACTCCTCAGAAAGTCGGTAAATAGATAAATCAATAATTTTTTTTAGAAAGATGAAGCAGAGCTGTTCCAGACAAAAGGATATTGAAGAGATATCACAACCAAATGCAATTCATGACTCTTAATTGGATCTTTGGGACTAATGAAATTTGAATATGGATTAGATGATAGTATGGAATTATTGTTAATCTTATCAGGTCTAATCATTTTGTTGGGGTTATGTAGAATAACTCCTTCCTAGGAGATGAGGGCTGAGTATTTGCAGTATAATATCATGATATTTGCACTTATTTTTAAATGGTTCAGCCAAAATAGAGATGAGGAGACAGAAAGAAAATATGGTATCCGGGCATGGTGGCTTATGCCTGTAATTGCCTCAGTTTGGGGGGCCGAGGCGGGCAGATCTCCTGAGGTCAGGAGTTCAAGACAGCCTGGCCAACATGGTAAAACTTCATAAACTAAAAATACAAAAATTAGCCAGGTGTGGTAGCATGCACCTGTAATCCTAGCTACTTGGGAGGCTGAGACAGGAGAATCACTTGAATCCAGGAGGCAGAGGTTGCGGTGAGCCAAGATTGTACCACTGCACTCCAGCCTGGGCGACAGGGTGAGACTCCATCTCAAAAAAAAAAAAGAAAGTAAATATGGTAAAATGTTTGGCTTGACTGGTTCCAAGTTTGAGTTCTTAAGACATTTATGTGCCATTTCCCAAAGTTTTCTGTGTTGGTAATTTTCATAATAATAATTGGCAGAAAATATTGTATCCTGACAATATTGTTTAGATGATGCTGTAACTGTGTTCCACATTTTCCTAAGCACTAGGGAGGTGTTTGTGTCCTCAATGTAGAAGTAAAGATTTCAGGATACCACATGAAGCCTGACATAATGGCAGTGTTATGCCTGCAAGTTACTTCACAGGACACACCTCTGCTCCAGGCCACTTTGGGAGTTGAAAATGCAGGCTACATGCCAGATATTGCACTAATGCAAGCATAGGTGAAGCCCAGACAAATTCTCACAAATTCTCGACACTCCTTTATGTCACCCAGACAGATCTCAGAAGGTGTGGAAGAACAAGTAACCCCAAAGTTATTGAAGAGTGAGCTTCTATCTGCTGATGTGAGTGCTGTTTGCTTCAGCCCCTGTTAGGACACCCGTGCTACCCGAGGGCAGCATTTCTGCAGGTAAGATTAGCTTATTTAGCCACTTGGGAGAACATTCTAAGTGTCTGCAGTTGAAAACAAGTTTCTCTGAGCACAGTTTAGTGCAATTTCTAAACAGGGGTGTGAAGTAATTCTATGATCATCTCTAATGTGGCTCCAGTCTTCTTTTCTAATTGTTCTTGTTTGCTATTGCGGCTTTTGGCAAGTGGAGGGGAAGAGGTGGTTAAAGGACATGAGAGAAAGCCGAGAGAGTGGAGGGAACGTGCTTGTGCGTGCCACACACGTGCACCTGAATTCCTGTCCTGGCCTCACTGAGGTCCTACACCTACCAGCAAAGCCGTCTCCCATGCCCTCCTCAGCAATTTCATAATTGAGGCACAGCCCTAAACAGTAGAGAAAAGCTCCCATACCTGAGTGTTGGGCATCTTATGGCTGGCTCGCTGCAAGCTCAGTTCCATCATCAAAGAGGATCCTGTGCATGTGACAGGAGCTAATATTTGCATGGCATTTTACAATTTATAAAATGCTTTGCTACATTTGATATTTCAACATGTATAACATTCCTGGGAGTTAAATATCATGCCCACTTCACAGACAAATACACAGAGGCTCACAAAGGCAAATCTTGCCCAAAGCACTCAACTAGTCCGTGGCAGGGCCAACAGTTGAATCCACGTCTCCAGAGTGAATCCTACTCATTCCACCCTGCACAACATGAGTGAACATGGCACTAATACTTCCTCCATTCTCATGGCCTGTTCTTCAATCGGAAGCACTCAGTACATGCCTGAAAAATGCAAGAAGGTCCTAGTGATTCAAGTCCCAGTTAACTGAAGTCATTTGGGGAGAGTAGGAGTTCTGGAATCACAGAATCTGCAGTCAAATCCACCTCTACTTACAAATAATGCAACCCTCAGCAAGTTACAGCCCCATGCATCCAAGCCTCATGCTTAAACCACAGGGCTATTCTGAGAGCAAAATGACACAGTGCCACTTAGTACTTGATAAGTGCTTGGCCATGGGAATGCTTCATGATTCTTTTTTTCTAACTGTCTGGTTGTCACAACTGCCCCAAGACCTACCTGGGAGCAATTGTCTTTTCTGCCTGGTACTCTCCATATCAAGGCTCAGATGTCCTTTTTCTTTTACTCCAAAATTGAATGCTTTCAGAGGTCGGAGGGTATGTTCTATTAGTTTAGGACTGAAGAAATGTCAAAACTCTTGTCCTCAAAGTGGTCCCAAAGCATAACAATATGTTGCTGAAATTTAGTGATTTTTCATAGCAAGCTACTTGAATTTCTTTGAAGATAAATCGTCTACCTTGAAAACAAACTTTCTTGTACAGAAAAGTTATGAGGAAAGTCCCAATTCTCTCTTGTTCTCAGCACAAAAACCCTGTGGCCCAGAATACCTTCTCCATAATACCTGTGTTTTTTTATAGGTGATAGGTACGGCTTTGTTTCTTCATTGTAATACACTGTATGTCTCTAGGATTGTGCGTGAGTCAAAGTCTAGATAAGCTTACAGAAGAGAGTGAATTTTTTATAGCTTAATCTTTTTGATGATTGTAAGCTTGAAATCTCTTGGTAAACACTTTAGGTCCCTGAAATTTTCTGAGGATAATACTTTTCAGAATATAGTTAATATTCTCAATAAATTAACAAGAGGCATCTGTAACGCCCTTTCTCCTTGTTCTGTCTTGGAGGCAGCCTTCTAGCTAAAACTCAAATGCAATCCTCCCTGCCCATTTTTCTTCTTTTCTTCACTATCCCACTGAAAACCAGACTCCTTGTCACCCAGCCCTGGGTTCAAGTCCTTTTGGGATTGCAGTGGTACCACTTCCTGTTCAACGACCCTGAGAGCACTTGACATACCTCCAAAATCTTAGTTTGCTAGTCAGATAAAGTGGGCAAGTCAAGGCTCAAACATTTTATGTCTTTAACTGTAAAACTGCCCTAGTAATCTGTGACCTACCTATGGGCTATTAGATTAGTGTAAAAAAGTACCCTGTAAATGGGAAAGGTACTTGTTAACAAAATAATATTTCCATAATCATTATTTATATAAATTTTAAATTTGACAATTCTGTCAATTGTTGTTAATTCGTATGTTTTGAAGAATGAATGTCTCAAAGGCGAATTTCATTGTCCAAAATGCTCTATGTGTACTGTAATTGTTGCCATAGTATAACGAATTCATCAGTTACCTTTTTCCCTCTTGGGACATTCCTTTCTGCAGTCAGTCAACATGGATGTGATTGCAGATACCTCCATATTTTTGGGAAAATTTCTATATGACTTTCTGGAATCTTTGGTTTACAAGATAATTCCCAAGACGGAAAAGAATGTTGCTGGAGAGATTGTACTTATAGCAGGAGCTGGAAGTGGACTTGGAAGGCAATTGGCCACACATTTTGCCGGGCTTGCAGCCATTTTAGTTCTATGGGACATTAATCAAGAAGACAATGTGGAAACGTGTAGACTGGCCAAAGAAAAGGGTGGTGAGGAAGTGTTCCCCTGCAAGTGTGACTGTCGCAACAGACAAGAGGTCTGCAGAGTTGCTGACCAGGTAAGCTGACTGGTGTTCTCTGCTTCCGTTCCCTAGGAAAATACTGCATCTAGTATGCACTTTTATAGGTAGAAGTTTGTCATAAACCTCCCCCAAGATCTCTGTGCGTTTCCTGCTTGACTCTTCATGTCAGAAATCAGACTGTGTAACCTCCAAAAGGGAGCACAGTGTAAACAAGGCAAGTGGGGACGTGAGAAGCCTAAGCAAGCGCCGCCCAGCTGCGTTTTAGGGGGACTCATTCATCAGCAGGAGGAGGTGGAAACGGGGCCTCCTCCTGGCTTTGCGGCTCATTGCTTGTGCAGTGTTTAACAAGTTACTGTCTGTCTCTAGGTCCTTGTTTCTTCATCTGTAAAACAAAAGGGTTGAACCAAATTATCTTTTTTTTTTTTGGACACATAGTCTTGCTCTGCTTCCCAGGCTGGAGTGCAGTGGCACCATCTCAGCTCACTGCAACCTTCATCTCCCAGGTTCAAGCAATTCTCCTGCCTCAGCCTCCCGAGTAGCTGGAATTACAGGCCCGTGCCACCATGCACAGCTAATTTTTATATATATTTTTTAGTAGAGACAGGTTTTCACTATGTTGGCCGGGCTGGTCTTGAACTCCTGAGCTCAAGTGATCTGCCCACCTCGGCCTCCCAAAGTGCTGGGATTACAGGCATGCACCAGTGCCCTGGGCCAATGGTTTGTGATTCTAATGCATCATATCCATTACCATCATGTACTGAGGATATAAAGAATATGAAATATACAATAAAAATAAAAATAAATTTAAATATGCATTTAGCATATTTTAGACCAAATTTCCTCTTGGACTTAGCCCGTTGATATTTGTTAGAACAAATACTCCTCATTAAATATTGACAAATACTCGAAATTGCAGCTACCATCTGTTGGGTGACTAGCAGGTACCCGAATAGCAGTGGGTTAGTTTTGAGCAGCGTTTCAGCCATGTTACCTCGAGTAAAGTGTTGTGAGGTCAGACGCAGATGGAGAGAGAGAAACAGAATTGAGCTTTTCCATTTTGTTTTGCTCATGATCCCCGGAGGAGAACACAGCACAGCCTGCAGGACCATGAAGGGGAGCACTGGGGTTGCTCATGAGGCAGAGAGATCAGGCCAGTGGCGGGGGCCTTTATTATGTTTTTCTCAAGAAGGAATAGGCAAGGCAGGGTAAGCGGCAGGGTAAGCATGTTCAGGAATGGTTAATTTGAATAACTTCAGGGGGCTCTAGGGCATAGAGGCTGTCCCTGGTTGTCTGGTACCTGGCCCTGGTACGACTGGGGTAGGTATAGAGCAGCCCAGAGTATGAGGACCCAATAAGGGAAGTGTTTGGATATGTGGACATAACAGGCTGTTCAGGAAGGGAAACTAGTCTGCCTTTAGCCATGACCTCAAACTCGTCAAGACAGCACCAGAAAAAAACCAAAAGCCCGCTATATTACAAATAGTCACTATTCTAAACACATTATACACGTCACAACCCATTAAATCAACACAATACCACCTTCTTAGGTATACGTCATTATCGTCATCCCCACTTACAAATGAGAAAACTGAAGCACAGAGTGAAAATGTAATGTGCTCAAGATCATAAAACTAATGATTGGCCAAGATTCCAACCCAGGCAAGTTGAAGCCACCATGCTATGAATATATCTGGGCTGAGCTCGGGAAGTACTCCAACAGATCCCCAGTCCCAGTACCACTAACTAGCCGGATCAGGACCCTGGAAAAAGTCTTTTCTGCCAAAGTATTATCCCATATAGCCGTCACAACGAAGTACAGCTAGTGCTCGACTTACGACCACGATTGGTTCCGACAGACCGGTTGTAACACGATTTGGTCGTAAGCTGAGTAGGCTATATGCACGCAGAGATGGTAGTGCTGCCGGAAGCTGGTCCGCACTGTCGTACGCCCAGCTGGGCAACGTTGGCGCTGCCAGACGCAGAGCAGTCGTGGCTAGCGATTGTGGTCGTAAAGTCGAATGGTCGTCAGTTGCATAGGTCGTAAGTCGATCAATACCTGTAGGCACTATCATTTTCTTGTTCTCTTATCCAGTATGCCATGACCCAAAGGGGTGCAAACACTTTAATAACAGAATATCTGAGGGATTTTCCATCCCTTTGGCAATCTAAGCTCTATATATGGAATTCACTTATTGATCCATTCAAAAAACATTCACTAAATCACTCTCTGTGACACATAACCTTCTGAAGCACCCTCTTCACCCTCATCCTTCATCACCCATTGCCTTCTTCTCTATTTGACAGTCCCGTAGGATTTGTTCTTTATAACAAATGAGCTTTATTCATCATGAGCTAATGCAAATATGTGTGCTGTAGATCCTAGGCACATTTTAGTACCCAGCAAGTGGAATCAAAGTTCGTCCTCATTTGTAAACAGTAAAGACATGTGACCAGGAAAGCTCATACACAGATGAATATATCTGGACTGAGCCTGGGGAGTAGTCTAACACAGCTCCAGTCCCAGTACCACTAACTAGCCAGATCAGGACCCTGGAAAATATCTTTTCTGCCAAAGTATTATCCCATATAGTCTTTACAACAAAATAGTCCTATCATTTTCTCCATTGTACTAGTGACGAAGCAGAGGCAGAGAGAGCTTAAGGAACTTACCCAGGCCATAGAGCAGACAAGTGAGGGACCCCATTACCTGGGTCAGACCCCATGCTGCATTCCCAAAGGGACAGCAACAATATGTGCATAATCGAAAGACCGCTTCATAATCCACTTTCTTTGATCAAGTATTGTAATCTCCTGCCCTCTTCCCCCACTGCCAACCCCTAACAAATCTTTTCTTCTTGGTCAACATTTTCTTGCTATCAAGTAGAAAACTAGGCTAAAAACTTTAACCTAAAATTATCTTTTCACATTAAAATGTTCTTTTCTGCACTCCAATAAATAGAATTTTTATCAGCCAACTACTTTATATGCTTTTTTGTATAATTTCAATTATGTAGCAACTCCCGAGAAACCCAAATACTGGGTTTGTACTTCAAGGCTTTCAACAAAGCATACACATTACCAGATTCCTTGAAATGCTCAGGAAAGTTGAATAGCAATAACAACATTCTACAGGTACATAGTAATTAACTTCCCAAGATTAGATTGAGGGAACAGCCTCATCTCCAACATAGAAAACCAATATACTAATAAATTGCTTTTCTTAAAGTAAGTAGGTTCGCAATTTATTTTCAAATGTCCAGGTTCAATCAATCATTAATATTTATTTGTATATGTGTGTGTGTGTGTGTTGCATGTGCACACACACGAGACTTGCTTGCTACAGCAATAATCATGTTGGCTAGAAAGAGTACTAAATTTGGGGGAAAACGGCTTTTTTGTGTGAATTTAAATTGGATGTGAATCACTGTTGCTCCTCTCTAAAGCTATGGGTCTTTCGGCAAGATCTTAATTTCTCAGAGCGTGTGTCTCCTCATCTGTATACTAAGATAATGATGCCTCCCTAGACTGCCCCTTGAAGTCACAGCGAAAATTACATCTTATGATCGAGATAAAATTTCCCTTGGCTCTGTTGTCCCTAAGGCTCAGGGCTTCTTAAACTGGATGACAGCAGCCACTGGGCTTTTCTTAAGTGTTCAGGAACATATTAAGCCCAAGAGTCCACTTCCTTCTTGAGTCCCTCCTTCTTGTCCCCACTTCATCGGTCTTGATGAGCACTTGCTCACACTGATTGCTTCACCAAGCCAATGGGATACCCTTCTTTAAAAGTTAACCTTTGTGAATGTTTTCCTCTGCCCTGCCTTCCTCCCTGGTAGAGGAGTCCAATTCCTCAGCCTAGCATCAGCTCAGCAGTATTAACTATTCGTTTTACTAGCTTGTAATCTACTACATTGGCAGCAATATCTAATTCTCCAAGTCATGTTATCCGACAGGCTCAACATATAGCAATGCATGCTGCAGGAATTAGAAAATCAAGTCAGGGGAGGCAGTGCTTCTTGTTTAGAAACAAAAATGGTTGTATCAGCCGAGAGATCCAGTTCAGGAGAGGAAAGTCTTATTTGTTGTTCAAACATACTTCATGCTTTGCTGTTGGGTCAGCTTTCTCAGTATCACCTACAAAGTCATAATAACGTGAGTCAAAATGGTGAAAGTCAGGAAACCAGTCCCTCAGGTGTTTCCTGGAGCGTTCTCTTCTCTGAGCAGGGCTTGTGGTATATTGCAGATTGTCCAGGTAGACGAGGTGGGCAACTTAGGATGGGAGGGTGAAGGCAAATGAGGACCTAAGAGGCACAATAGTGGCACAGCTGAGGGATTCAAGGCAGCATCAGTCACAGAGAGCAATTCGATTCAACAGGGTCCACTGGATAGAAGAGCACAGAAATGTGGAAGTCCATTGGCAGCCGGTCAAAGGCATCCATGTTTAGGATGCATTCATGCCAAAAACTGATCAGGCCTGAGGGGATGAGATAGAGGAGTAGGGGAGGTGACGCCCACAGAAGTAGGCATCAGACACCCACTGATGTGCTGTGGGACAACCTGAAGGCCATCTGCTGGGAGCAGTTCTGAGACATTCAGGGAGGCTGCGTCACTCAGACTCCACTGCCATTAGTGACCCAGGAACGGGCATTCACATAACAGAAATGGGAGGTGAGGAAAATATGCTACAGTATGCTGCAGGCCATCTCCACGCAAAAAATCAAGACTCTTTCAACAAAATGGCTAAATCTGTTTTTTCTTTTTAAAGATAATTTGTCATAAAGTTACCTTAAAACTGTTGAATTTCTACATAGAAGATAAAAATATCGAGTTTTAGATAAACTATATGAAGAAAATGAGAAAAAGAAATCACTACTTGCGAAAATAAATGTCAAAATGCAACACCTCAAATGAATTAATGCTTGCCTCCCTCTGGCCAGGTCAGGAAAGAAGTTGGTGACGTGACCATCCTCATTAACAATGCCAGCATCGTCACAGGAAAGCTCTTCCTCAATATTCCAGATCACATGGTGGAAAAATCCTTTCTTGTAAATGCCATCTCTCATTTCTGGGTAAACCTCTTTCTTTATCATTTTCTTTTGTTGGTGAGTACAAAAATTCCATGCATTCATATAAACACCTGTTTATGTATTTGTCTATAAATATACCATTTGGAGATTTTCCGTTGAAAGATGTGGGGTCTCAATCCTTGCTGGGTTTACTTGCTGTGCTCTTCCTGATCTTGTTTTATCCCAAATTATCAGAGAAATTTCCTTCCCTCTGCCCTCTTAAGTTTGATCCCAAGATTATTAACTGTTCAGAAATCTTCCCACCTAAATACAAACCGAGAGTGACAGCAATTATACAAGAGAGATTTAATTTGGCCATGAGAGGAAAGGGAGCTTGTGCAAAGATAGGGGCTATTTTTAGAGTGGTGATTTATGTGCACGCAGAACTGGGCATTCTAATAAAGGAATTAAGGGCGGCAGGAATCACAATCACCACCCGTTATTGAGCACTTGCAGCCACGATGCTGTTTTCATTCTCATTTTACAAATAAGGAAACTGAGGCCCAAAGTATTTCAGTGAACTCCCCAGGGCCAGGCAACTGGTAAATGGTGGCCCATGGTTACAGAAGGAAGAAGTTGTGAGAGAAGGTAAAAATTACAGAAAGGGAATGAGTGAGTTCATGATTCAGGAGTGTCTTTCCTGAGGCCTGGAGTGGTTTACACAATGCAGCCCAGTAGGGCTGTGTGATGGTGGAAATGCTCTTCAACTGTGCTTCCCACTATGATAGCTTCTAGTCATCTGTGGCTACTGAGCACTGGAGGTGTGGTTAATGGGACTGAGGCACTAAACTTTTTACTTTATATTTGAGACAGAGTTTCTCTCTGTCGCCCAGGCTGGCGTGCAGTAGCATGATCTCATCTCACTGCAACCTCCACCTCCTGGGTTCAAGCAATTCTCCTGCCTCAGCCTCCTAAGTAGCTGGGGCTACAGGCACCCACCACCACACCCAGCTAATTTTTGTATTTTTAGAAGAGATGGGGTTTCACCACGTTGGCCAGGCTTGTCTCGAACACCTGACCTCAGGTGATCTGCCCACCTTGGCCTCCCAAAGTGCTGGGATTACAGCCTTGAGGCACTGCACCTGGCCTTAAATGCATATTTAAATAGCCACACATGCGTAGAGGCTACTTCCTTGGTCAGTGCAACTCTAGAAAGTGGGTAGAGGCTGAAGGAGAGAGGAGTTACCAGAGGCGTTTCCACTAAGAGGGTTCCTACTTGATGCTGCCAGGGAATGAACACGCATCGGCGGCGCATAGGGTCTGTGGGAGGAACAGGGGCTGAAACCAGGGCCTTGGGAGACGTGGGGAAGTGGAGACAGGTATGGTTTGAGTCCTCTGTGTCTCCGGAAATAGGACCTTGAAATGGGCTTCCTTTCAGTCTCCTGGTTCCTCCCTCTTTCTCCTCTACACTTTCATACCACTCTCCATGGAACTCAGAACTATTTCTTGGTCTTCCTTGGTCACTGGGAAGCTAATGGGAACCTCCACTAACCTATTTTAACCAATGCTCCTTGATCACCTACCACAGTGCTTGCCATATAATACATTTTCCAGAAACATTTGTGAAAACCATGGATCCCTTCCCTGTACCACCCTCCCTCATTTCCTTCAGAAAGATGAGCTGTCATCTTGGTAAATGTAGCTAGGGTACATCCATTACAGTCACATCACAAATCTATAAATCATCCTGATTCCTCCCCTTCTCTCCACACCAGCATCCTTGGCTGTCCCTGAACTACATGCCCAAGTGCATGTCTCTCCTTCCTGTCGCCAGCCCCTGGATCAGGCTCTCCTCATCTCTCACCAACAGCTCCTCAGAGCCTTCCTCCTTCAACACTGGTGCCTTCCAACCCATCTTTACATGGGAGCAAGGTAATCTTTTCAATACATTTATCAAACAATCATCTCATTCCACAGATTAAAAATATTGAGATTTCCCAATGTACTTAGAATAACATACAGTTGCCTGCTATGGCCTCCCTTAGCTGTCCCTCACCCCGCATTCTCTCCACTTTCTGCTCACTTTCTGTATGTCAAGGATCCTGGTTAAGCTCCAGAGAACATCAAGCTCTTTCTCATCTGAGGGTTTCTGTACAAGCCGTTCTCTCTCCAACAGGAATGTGCTTTCTCCTGACTCACATAGTAGTTCCTTCTTATTCCTCAGATTTCCTGTAGTCTCTGAACTTGAACCTTTATGTTGTGTATGTGCTGTTGTTTGCCTTGAATCCTCTATGTACGTAGTGATAAGAGCTATTAATAAACACACACAAGGTTTCTGGTTGTGTGTCAGCAAATCTAGAGACAGATGACACTGAGCAACTGCTGAAACCAGAGAATCAACTTCCATCAGAAGATGATGGAAGGAATCTTGATTCATCTCAAGAATTAGAGAGATTTTTAAAATTTTGTTCCACTGCTCTTACTAGCTCATCTATTCCAAGGCCAAGAAAGCGAACCCAAGAAATATGTCTCCAGCAGGTGCTGCCTGCAGTACTTCTCAGGAGAAATTTTACTGCAGCTCTTCTAGTAAGAGATTTGCTTTTGTTTCTTGAGGTCTCCCAAACCTGCCAAGGCTCCTGGTCTGCCAGGAAGTGGCCTCCCTTACTACCTGTAAGGCTGGAAGTGGGCCTGTGATCTATAAAGCAGGTATCAATCCAATTTCCTGAGGAGACACATTTGAACAGCAACCATCATCCCTAAAGAGTAGACGTGTCAGAAATGATTAAATTAAACTTATTCTTAAATGGGGCACACCTGTGCTTTGGTTGCATTACCAAGCTATTCATTATATCCTGGAAAAAGAAGGTCTGGTTCTTACTGAACGTGTATAATAGGCCCATCACCATGAAAGATGAAGGATCTCAGTAAGTCATTGTAATAGAATCTGCCCCACTGCATTGAGTAGATTTGTGGACAAGAGCAATTAATAGTTTTTATATTATCTGTAAAATTAGTTTGATTGTATATGAATGTACAATGATTAGAATAAGTTAAATTTCATTCCATACATTTTTCTAAGCTTAACCTATTGTGAAAACATTTATCTGAATTTCAAGTACTAAAATTATCATCCTTACATTCCTTTGAATCTTCACTTAGTTTATAATCTAAACTAAGATCCCCCATAAGATATTTGTCCCAGATTTCTGGAATTATCAGTTGGACTAAGATAGCATTCAAAAAGTTTCATTCCGGCCGGGCGCGGTGGCTCACGCCTGTAATCCCAGCACTTTGGGAGGCCGAGGTGGGTGGATCACGAGGTCAAGAGATCCAGACCATCCTGGTCAACATGGTGAAACCCCGTCTCTACTAAAAATACAAAAAATTAGCAGGGCATGGTGGCGCGTGCCTGTAATCCCGGCTACTCAGGAGGCTGAGGCAGGAGAATTGCCTGAACCCAGGAGGCGGAGGTTGCGGTGAGCCAAGATCGTGCCATTGCACTCCAGCCTGGGTAACAAGAGCAAAACTCCGTCTCAAAAAAAAAAAAAAAAGTTTTATTCCACCTTGCATTAGTATAGCTTCCTGAAGAGAGAACTGGAAACACATCAAGAAGAAAGAAAAAGGGCTTGTTCACATGCCCATCAGAAAATAGAACTTTGACCACATTAAATTTTCCTCACTGATGCTGTGACCCAGCCATATTCCACTAATTCTGTCCTGCCTGATGCTGATCAGGGTCTGCTTTCACACAGGCATCTGCTGCTAGACTAAACAGGTTCTGTGAGCCCGGCTCAGCCCCAGACGTGACCTTGCAGAGGCCTCCTCACTGTGGCAATGTCGGCCCACACTGGGAAGCCCATTCCAATGAATCGATCCTTGGCACGGTCCAGCCACACTGCAACTCTGAGTGTGCCCTATGCTGTCTTCACAAGGCACAGTTTCCAGTTTGTGGTATTAGAAGCCTCTAGGCAAAAAGAGGAAGACTAGAAATTCCCTACTAATGACAAGACTGAATGACTCTAGTCAATTTATTCCAAAACCTAAAAATGGCAGATTAAGAAAGTAGAAACTGCTATTGGGGTGTGAGACATAATTATTTTATAAGAATTTGGTTACTTACTATAGCAAGAGCACTGACAAATCCTCAGGGTCTTTCTGTCTGTCCTGGCAAGTGTGCAGTCTCTGATTAAATATATTTGTATTAATAAATTCACCCCAGAAAAGTTTGAGTTTCTCTTTTGGATTTGACAGCTTTTCCCCACATCTCCTCAGGGCAGGTCCTAAATAGGGTTCGGCTAATTAAGAAATGTGAAGCATACCCAATATACTTCATTTCCTCCGGCAACCCTGCTGCTGCTCGCTGCCATGTGATGAAATCAGGCCAAAGAACAGACCACGGGTGCTTTGGTCACATAAGAAGTACCAAAGATGACTTTGAATGCAAAAACACCTCTATAGATTTATGTTTCTAAACAGAGACTATGGAATAGCTGTAATTGGCTGTCTTAAGAGCCAGAGTAACAATAGCTTTGTTTTGATTTTTAAATAAACCTAACAGCACATCACAGTGTAATTATTAAGGGATTTTAGATCTTTCAGATGTGGCAAATTTTGGTTATTTGATTTAACAAAAAGTTAATTAGGGCTCAAGAGCTCAGAGTAAGTATATTTTGACAAGGTAAGAAACCATGCTCTCTGGGCAGACTACACAAAGCTCAAAAATAATCTTCCAATACCTCTTGTTGATAACAGAATGGAATATTCCAAGAGATGTTAAGGTACCAGGTTCATCATCTTTATCATACTTAAGTTTCTTTTGTTCATTCACTTTAACACGCTCTTATATGTGTGACTGAGCTTAAACACACAAACATATATGTATCACTATGTAACTATATTATTGTTAGCTTTCAATGATCACTTTAAAATATAAACAACTTTATCATATTAAAAATTAAGGTATACACTACATTGAATTTACCATCTCAATTAAAGCTTTACATAAAAAAACAAGTTAAAATGGTGCTGAATGACAGTACCTTTTCTCTATGAATTTTAATTTCCTTTTAATTGTATTGGTAACCAAAAATTTCTCATAAATTTACCCAACTTAATATTATCATAAAATCTTCAAGTCATTTAAGTTATACTACAGAGCAACACAATCACTGGTGATATTGAAAGACTGTCAAAGGGATGACATTGAAAAATTATAAAAGGCAGGGCACTTGCAGTCACTAGGTGCAAGCAACTTGCAACACTGAAGTTCAAAAATATCAATCCTTTTAACAGGAAAATCATCATTCATTGTAGTGCAATTTAACTGTGCGCAAACTTGTATTCTTTGTAACCAGAAATGTTTTTGTGGAAACAAAGATAATCTGTCTGACGCATACATAAACCAGTGTTAAAAATTTTAGAATGTTTATTAATTTGGCTTTTCCATGAAAAAAAAAACAAGTCTTACATAAATGCAATAAAATGAAATCAAGCAAATGTGATGTTTGTTTTCATTACATCCCACACGCGATAAAAGCAGGAAATCGTGATTAACAGGATATAGCTGTTTATCAAACAAATCTGATTTGTTCACAGATTTACTTTGATTAGGAGTAATGGTCAAACCTAGATTCATATATAATTCTGTATTAATTTCCCAGGAACTAAAAATATTTTCCAAAAGATAAAATACATTTTTGGCAACTAATTGTTGACTCAACACTTATTTATATTCCTTTTTCTTCCCTTTAATAATAGATGTATATCTAGTGAGCACTAGTTATTGGTCCCTAGGAGCAGTTCATCTAGAATGTCCTAAAAAAGTGCTCCACTGGTACACGCGGTTACAAATTTAACAGACGCTCTTCATTACCTACTCCTTTTCCCTCTAGGAGGGAGAACTTTTCTCAGTTGAACACACGAGAAACTAGCTGCAAATTCAGCCACAGCCAAAAGTAAATACACACAGATACATTTGCAGAAAAAAAAAAATTGGTAGAGAAAAGCAAACAAAACTGAACTCCTAGGCCTGGCACAGTGGCTCACACCTGTAATCCCAACACTTTGGGAGGTTGCGGCGGGTGGATCACTTGAGTCCAGGAGTTTGAGACCAGCCTGGCCAACATGGCAAAACCCTATCTCTACAAAAAGTACAGAAATAAGCCAGATGTGGCAGCACATGCCTGTAATCCCAGCTACTAGAGAGTCTGAGGCACGAGAATGGCTTGAACCCAGGAAGCAAAGGTTGCAGTGAGCTGAGATCACACCACTGCACTCCAGCCTGGATGACAGAGAGAGACTGTCTCAAAAAGCAAAACTCCTGAAAGTGGCTACAACCCTGTGAACAGGTAACTTCCTATCCTCATCATGTTTTTTTTTTATTTCACCAGTGTTCAGCTGTATGACAAACTGTTATAGGCCACTGATTTCTTCTCTCTCTTACTCTGGAAAGTTTCACTGCCCCCAACTATGGGATTTCGTATAAAGGTAGCAATGGCACACACCCTCAACTCCACTTCTCAGCTTCACTTTCTTCAAAGTTTCATAAACTTTTAGATTCCAATAGTGGTGCCACTGCTGGGCCTCCATACCTAGGCTTCCTGTCCTTAAACCTAACTGGGTCTACCACCAGACACTGGGGAGATGTCCTCTGGGCCTCCGGCCAGATCGTTTACACTTTTGGATTGAAAGGTAATAACCAGCTTTTGTTATTTTTACCCTGCAGTCATGATTGATGCAACCAAAATTTAACTTTTGAAAGACAAAAATGTTGCAACTACAAGACACAGATGTATAAATTGTCACTACACTTGGACAGGAAATGTCAAAAGAGGCCAATTGTTCACACCTAAGCAATAACTCGTCAATTAGTTCAGCAGCTCTGGAACAAGGTTACTGAGATAAAGAATATTTCAAAAACAAAGGTCTCCTCATTCTTTGTTTCAGTGCCTGCTCTCTGTTCTACTGGCCCCTTGTAGCTGAGCGCATCTTGGCAGTCTCTCCAAAATTCTAAATGCAAAATTCTGACACTGTTAACATTGTAAATCTCATAGAAACAGATCATGAGCATTGTCAAGGTTAGATTGAACTCATTTCCGGGGTATCCGGTACAATAACACAGCCAACAAGATGATGATATTAGAAACCTGGACTTACATAGTGAATGAGAAAAGGAGTGCCTGAAATAAGAATATATCTAAGACATGGTAGTGCCTTACTTACCAGGCTGTGTTTAGCTTGCAGTGAAAATCACTTTTCCCTAAACAATTCCTCCCATTCTGCTAAACCATCAGGGCAAGGGCAGATCTTGTTTAGGGTAAAGCCAGGAAGGTAAATGTAATTAAATTTTAATATAAATTGCTAAAATCTACATGGAAAAGTTCAGCATACCAAAAAAAAATAGATTTTAATATTTCTAGCCAAGCACAAATATAAAAGTTTTGTTTGATTCAATTGGTATAGTTTATTTCAAAAGAAAAAAAATCAAATAATATAAATTAACATGTCATAACCTTTAATCTCATTGAAAACAATGATTATGTTGTACCTACTTTTCTACTGCCACAGAAGTTAACACATTATGGTGTTAAATAAATATTTGCGAAATTAGTAAATTCATCAAATACTTATGAAGCAAATACAGTAATAAATGAATGAAATATTGACAAAATGCATTTATACCTTCCAGACTTACAAGGCCTTCCTTCCTGCCATGATTAGAATTAACCATGTGCACCTGGTTTGTATTTCAAGTGTAGCAGGAGTAGCTGGTATTAATGGACTATCAGGTGAGTGCCTTGTTTCACCATGTGCCACAGAACTCAGAAATTAGGACTCTTCCAAGATAGATAGAAGCTCTCCCTGCACCAAGGGGAAACCTCTGGAATATTTGGCTCTATTTATAATGCCAGCATTCTCTTCTGTTTCCAGAAGGAGATATAGTCTCTTTTCAAAAAAAAAAAATGAATATGCCTTTTGGCTTATAGGTCTTCTTAGGTTAGAAAACACTGATATGATTTCCATCTTTTTACTGGGTAAAGAGTGTGGAGTGGAGTGTTTGGCCACATAAATTGACTCTGACAGGAATGCTTTGTTCCCGAGGACAAGCCAGAGAAAGAGGAAGGTGATTCAAGTTTTTAAATAATTCCAAGAATTAACTCGTCAAGCTCTATTACTAATAGTTCCCCACTTTGTTTCAGATTATTCTGCAAGTAAATTTGCAGCCTTTGGCTTGGCTGAATCTCTCTCTTTTGAATTAGCTACTCTAAAGAAAACTGGAATTAAAACCACCATCGTTTGCCCATGTTTCATCAACACTGGAATGTTTCAGGGCTGTACAACCAAGTAAGTTAGCTCTTAGAGTAATATTTGCGTGTAACATAATCTTCCAATATATGTCATCATCTGATCATTTCGAAGTTTTGAAATATGGACAGTGAAACAATAGAAACAATTTGAATGACTAATTTAGTAAAAGAAAACTTCAATATGCATGAAATTTATAAATTTATCCAATTTAAAGACAATATAGTTACGAAGCTTGTGGTATAGCAAAAATTTAAACCTAAAATACTAATTAGTATATTAAAATATAACAGAGAAATGAATACTGAGAACTTTGCAAATGCTTAGCTTTGTAGTTTTGAGAAGATAAGTTTTTCCTAAAGAGAATACAAAGGTATAAATAACCTCAAAAATAAAATATTTTATAAAATTGATTAATATAAAAATGATTAATATTCTACTCTGCGGAAGTATTGCAGAGTGACATTTTGGTATGAAGGTTAAGTTAAAACACTCCAAACTAGAATGCAAATATAATATGAGAGCTTTTACACAGGGAACCAGTCAATTAGTATATTGAAAAGTGTAAACTGGATACAAGGACAAGTATAGTGACTACAATCATTAAAAAAGAGACTGACACAATCCAAATGACATGAATCAGCTATATTTGTGAGACATAGTGACAGCCAATAAAAAGGCTCGCTAAGAGGCAATGAAACTATTTAGTCTAGTGAAGCTTTAAAATTAAATAAAGTTCCAAGAAGTGATCAAGAATTGACAAAATGTATAGGGGAAATCTCTCCCCAAAGAGACATCTATTAAGCTTGTCAAAATTAGCAAAGACAACCATTTAAAATTTCTAGAGACTGGCTGTGTGCAGTGGCTCATGCCTATAATCCCAGCACTTTGGGAGGCCAAGGTGGGTGGGTCACCTGAGGTCAGGAGTTTGAGACCAGCCTAGCCAACATGGTGAAACGCTGTCTCTACTAAAAATACAAAAACTAGCCGGGCATCATGGCACACATCTGTAATCCCAGCTATTCAGGAGGCTGAGGCATGAGAATCACTTGAACCCAGGAGATGGAGGTTGCAGTGAGCCAAGATCACACTACTGCACTACAACCTGGGTGACAGAGTGAGACTCTGTCTCAATAAAATAAAATAAAATCTCTGGAGAGTAATCAAAGGGCATGCGAATAGTCAAGAAGCATTTGTTGAATACAATGTATAGAAAGTCAATAAGAACACTAAAAGACCATGGCACTGGGGCTTGGGACTATCCCTCTTGCCTTGTGGGATAATGTTTCAGCAGACTTGACAACCAAGTGACAGTTCTTCCACCCTTCCTGGGGGTGAAAGGGCTATTCTTGGTAATTTGATAGCTGGTAGAACATTAGCAAATCCTATTTTTGACAGCCCCATGCAGTTGAAGACTTGTATTGCGTAAATAACCTCAGCCAGACAGTGCTTGATCATTTTGTGAAGGGAAAGTCCAGAGAGGGGCTCTTGGTGAAGAAGGCAGTTCCTTTCCCAGAACAGCTCTTTGTTGTGACAGAACTGCACCAGTAAGCTCAGCAGCCAAGTGGCAGCTTCCATCTTCCCCAAATTCCAGGATACTTGTTCTGTGTAGATTTCCCAGGCAATGAATATTAGCAGATCCCATTCTTCTAGGGTCCAGGCTGTGGAATATCCATAAAGGTTAGTGGCAGTAGTGCCAGTATATTTCCTGTCATCTCCACCTCCAACCCTCACATCCTGATTGATAGGGACAATTTGGGTAAAGTAGCCATGGAAGAGTAAGTTTTATATCACCCTGATCTCCTGCTCCACAGCACAGAGTAACCAGTTGCCAGGTAAGTGTCAAAGTCTCCTCAAAGACTGGTATCTCTCTGCTTCTGCCACAGGACCTGACTTCAATTGGGTGAGACCATGAATCAGAATACAAAAAGAACAGGACAATCAGCTAGCAAATTGTGGAGCTTAAGAGCTGGGTGTGATAGTAGAAGCAGGCCAGGCAAAGCTTGACTAAGAGACAAGCACAAGAGGAGGTAAAAGATTGTCTGGTTAAAACCACAGTCATCTCTGACAGTCAGGAAGATTGTGTGCATGCCCAAGATTGCATCTTCTAAGGAATGACACCAAAGCTATACACATTTACTGTAGAAGGAGGAGACAGACCTCACTGAACTGGTATAGCCCAGTCGGTAAATAAATAAACAAGCAAACAACCATAACAACAAGCCCTAAGGTAGAGTATTGTCCAGAGTTCCTAAAATATATTATCTGCAATGTCCACTTTTTTTTTTTTTTTTGAGACGGAGTTTCGCTCTTGTTACCCAGGCCGGAGTGCAATGGCGCGATCTCCGCTCACTGCAACCTCCGCCTCCTGGGTTCAGGGAATTCTCCTGCCTCAGCCTCCTGAGCAGCTGGGATTACAGGCACGCACCACCATGCCCAGCTAATTTTTTGTATTTTTAGTAGAGACGGGGTTTCACCATGTTGACCAGGATGGTCTCGATCTCTTGACCTCATGATCCACCCACTTCGGCCTCCCAAAGTGCTGGGATTACAGGCTTGAGCCACCGCGCCTGGCCTAATGTCCACTTTTTAACAAAAAATTAGGAGTTACTCAAAGAAATAGAAATTATGACCCACACACAGGCAAAAACATAGGCAATAGAAACTGCTTTCAAAAGGGCTCAGATGTTGGACTTAGCAAATAAATTTCAAAAAGTTATTATAAATACATTCAAAGATCTAAAAGAATACCTGTTTGAAAAATAAAAAGAAGGTATTATAACAATGTCTCATCAAATTTCAATAGATCAAAAGTATAAAGAAAGACAAATGTAAATTTAGAAGTGAAAAAGATATGATGACAATGTCTCACCAAATTTCAATAGATAGTAAGTAAACAGAAAAACAAATGTAAATTTAGAAGCAGAAAGAAAAAATAACTGAAAATAAACATTCACAAGAGCAATTCAAGATTGGATTTGAGTTGGCTGAAAAAAGGAATGAGTAAATTTGAAGATGGATAGTTAGAGCTTATGCAATCAGAAGAAAAGAGAGAAAACAAAATGAAGAAAAAAAAAGCTTCAGAGAAATTTCGGATACTGTTAAACAAATAAATATATACATGACAAGAATAACATAAAAAGAGTATACACGGATGCCAGGCACAGTGGCTCACTGCTGTTATCCCAGCATTTTGAGAGGCTTAGGCTCACCTGAGCTCAGGAGTTTAAGATCAGCCTGGCAAACATGGTAAAACCCCATCTCTACTAAAAATACAAAAATAAATAAATAGCTGGGCATGGTGGCGCGCACCTGTAGTCCCAACTACTTGGGAGGCTGAGGCAGGAGAATCATTTGAACCTGGGAGGTGAAGGTTGCAGTGAGCCAAGTTTGTGCCACTGCACTCTAGCCCTGGCAACAGTGCAAGACTCTATATAAAATAAATAAATAAAAAATAAAGAATATATAGAGAAAGGAGCAGAAAAAAAACATTCAAAGAAGCAATGGCTAAAAGCTTTCTAAATTTGATGAAAACATTAATTTACATATTTAAGAAACTCAATGAATTCCAAGTAGGATAGACACAAAGGGTTCCACACCCAGACACAGCATAGTCAAAATGTTAAAAGACACAAACAAAGCCAACAAAAGGAAAAAATATCTTGAAAGCAACAAAAGGAAAAAAAGTCTCATCATGTGCAATGGAACCCAATTGTGATTAATGACTGATGCCTCAACAGAAATAATGGAAGCAAAAAGGCAGTGTGATAACATATGCAAAGTACTGGGGGGGGAAATTATCAATCAAGAGTCTTATATCCAGCAAAAAGTCTCTTTCAAAAATGAAGGTAAAAGGAAGGCAAACCGAAACAGATAATTTGTTGCTTAGTATACCACCTCACAGGAAATACTAACGGAAATTCTTCAGAACAAAAACAAGTGACTCCTGAGAGTAATCTGAATCCACATGAAGTTAACAGAGTGACAGTAAAGGCGACAAAGTAGGTAATTTTTAAAAGACAGTTTGAATGTATATTTCTTTCTCCTCTCTTCATTGATTATAAATACAAATTGTATAATAGTTTTATTGGGCCTACCACATATAGAAACATAATATTTTTGACAATTAGAGCACAAAGTGGGTGAATGGGGGACAAAGTTGTATTGAAGTAAGTAAATGACACCGGATGGTAACTCAGATGCACAGGAAGAGATGAAGAGAACCAGAAATGAGGAAGGTTGATACGACAAACCCTATAAACATGTAATTGTTCTCCTTCATTCTCTCAGCTTCTTGAAAATATAAAACTTATAAAGTATTAACTACAATAATGTATCATTGTGTTTGTAACATATATAGATAAAATGTATACAATAGCATAAAAGTGGGAGAGGCAATACAGCTATATAGGGGTAAAGTTCCTACATCTCACTAGAATTAAGAGATTATAAATATTAAATTGGTTCTGATAGGTAAACATGCATATTATGTGCCCCAGAAAAAAAATATAATTTTAGAAATTATCAGCTGAGCACAATGGCTCACGCCTATAATCCCCATACTTTGGGAGGCTGAGGCAAGAAGATTGCTTGAGCCCAGGAGTTTGAGACCAGCCTGCGCAACATGGTAAGAACTTGCCTCTAAAATATACATATATATATTAGCCAGGCATGGTGTTCCATGCCTGTAGTTCCCAGCTACTCAGGAGGCTAAAGTGGGAGGATGGCTTGAACCCTGGAAGTCCAGGCTGCAACGAACCGTGATTGTGCCACTGTACACCAGTCAGAGCAACAGAACAAAACCCCATCTCAGAAAAAATTTATTAAAGGATGTCCCTGTGATCAAAGGGCATAGAGAATTATAAGCCCAGTATGCTTATTAGACATCTGTAGAATACTCCACCACACAACAGCAGAATGCCCATTCTTCTCAAGCACACATAACACAGTCTCTGGGATAGGCTATAGGCTGAGCCATAAAACAACCATCAGTAAATTTAAAAGGAATAAAATCATACAAAGTATATTCTTTAAACAAAATAAAATTAAAATAAAATTAGAAATGAAAAACAGAAGAAATTTTGAGAAATTTACAAATACGTGGAAATATGACTAAAGCAGTGCTTAGAGAAAAATTTATTTAAAAATAAAAAGCATCTTAAACAAACATATAATCTTCCGCCTTAAGAAACTATAAAAAAGAGCACCCTAAATTCAAATCAAGCATAAATAATAATTGTAGCAGAAATATATGAAATAGAGAGTGGAAAACTGGAGAACAAGCTATAAAACCAACATTAATGATCAACAAAATTAGCAAAACTTTAGCTAGACTGACCAAGAAAGAAAAAACAGAGAAGTCTCAAACTACTAAAATCAGGAATAAAAAAGAGGACATCACTACTGGTGACATTACAGAAAGGAAAAGGACTATAAGGAAATACTACAAAAATTACATGCCAAGAAACTAGAAAACCTAGATGAAATTGAATAATTTCTAGAGAGACACAAACTAACAAAACTGACTTCAGAGGGAAAAACAACATATGAATAGACTTAAAACAAAGATATTAAATTAGTAAACCAAAAAAAAAAAAAATCCCACAAGAAAAATCCCAGATCCAGAGGGCTTCATGGAAAATTCTATAAAACTTTTCAAGAAGAATGGCTACCAATATTTTAAAAACTTAAAAAAAAAAATAGAAGAAGACTGACCACTTCCCAACTCACTCTATGAGAGCAGGATAACCTTGATACTAAAACTACACAGAGACATCACAAGAAAATAAAAACCAAAGGTCAATACCTATTATGAATATAAACACAAAAATTCTCAATAAAATACCGGCAAACTGAATCCAGCAACCTATCATATTAATACATCATGACCAAATAGGATTTATCCTGGAAATGCAAGATTGGGTTAATATTTAAAAAGAATTTAATACAGTACATCATATCAGTAGAACAAAGAACAAAAGCTGCATGATCATCCCAAAACACACAGAAAAAGCATTAGACAAAATCCAGCACACTTTCATGATTTTTACGCCAAGAAAGTAGAAATAAAAGGAAACTTCCACAACTTGATAAGCAGCATCTATGAAAAACCCATAGCTAACATCATATTTAATGCTGAAAGATTGAATGATTTCCCCCCAAGATCAACAATAAGACAAGTCTATCCACATTCACCACTCTGATTCAACTCCTGTTCAATAAAACATTTAGACAAAATATAAAATAAAAGGTATTTGGATTGGAAAAAAAGCAAAACTATATTTTCAGATGACATGATCTTGTATATAGAAAATTCTGAAGAATACACATGCGCACACACACACACACACACACACACACATACACATACACACAATTACAGCTACAAAATGAATTCAGCAAAGGACAGATATTCAAAATCAATGTACAAAACTCAATTGTATTTCCACACATCTGAAATGAACAATCCAAAAATGAAATTAGTAAAACAAGTCTATTTAACAACAGCATCAAAAAGAATAAAATACTTAGGAATAAATTTAACAAAAAAGTGAAAAACTCATCCTATGAAAATTACAAAACATCTTCAAAAGAGGTTAAAGGAGACTTAAATAAAAATAAATCCCACGTTCATGGATTGGAAGACTTAATATTGTTCAGACAGTCCCTCAAAATGTTAAATATAGAATTACCACATGGCCTAGCAATTCCACTCCTAGGTATATATCCAAGAGAAATGAAAACACATGTCCCCACAAAAACTTGTACACAAATGTTCACACAGCATTATGCATAACAGCTAAAAGGTGAAAACAATCCAAATATCCATCAACTGATGAATGGTTAGCCAAAGTGTGTCATATCCATGCAACAGAATACATGTGATGCAAGAATTCAACAAAACTCAATAAAAGCATTCTGTGAAAAGTAATTGATTATATGGAATTTATAACAAAAAGTAATGTATATTTTATTAGTAGTGGTGAATCATGTACTATACACGTTTTATATAAATAGCATTTATAATAAACATGCATATGTACATATGTAGCTATAGCTAATATAAGTATACTCTATATACATTTTTAGGTTATTTTCTTTACTTTGTTTCTAACATTATTATTAATATAATATTAGTAAGAATTGATAATATGTGATTAAGTCTTATTAAAAGCTAGAGTGTTAAGATCACAGAAAGAATATGACCAGCCAGGATAAGGGAGCATGGTGCCCACAGAAGGCAGTGATGTTAAATGATAACTTTTATAAAATTGGTGTCCTTAGATAAACAAACATAAAAATGAAAGCCTCCAGAAGAAGAAAGATTCACAATCCTAAAATGGTAGGGAATTAAACAACGATCTGTAGATTCTATTTTTAAATAACCACTGGAGTCCTTTAGGCCATAGTTCTAAAAACTTTTAGGAGAATGAAATATACAGACTAACTGTCAACATTCAATTGTAGAAAATTGATCAGACTCGCAAAATCAGCTGAGATAATCAGAATTTTTTGAGAGAGTGTGGTTCAACTAATTAAGCAGAACAATATAAAAGTATAAAATATCAAATACCTTATGTGACATTTATTTATATTCTGATCCATTTCAACTACTGATTTCAGAAACATCTATTTCTGTTTAGTGTTGTAACAATGATCTGCCTAAACTGATACATTACACATGTTCAAGAGACTTTTTTGGTAAGATAAGTTTGCTATTTTGCTTTTTTTTTTTTTTTTTTTTTAAGATGAATCTCTGTCACCCAAGCTGGAGTGCAGGGACACAATCTCTGCTCACTGCCATCTCTACTTCCTGAGCTCAAGTGATTCACCTGCCTTAGCCTCCCAAGGGATTACAGACATGGGCCACCACACCTGGCTAATTTTTGTATTTTTAGTAGAAACGGGGTTTCACCATGTTGGCCAGGCTGGTCTCGAACTCCTGACTTCAAGTGATCCACCTGCCTTAGCCTCCCAAATTGCTGGGATCACCAATTGGCCCGTGCCTGGCCGCAATTTTGCTTCTTAATAGTATACAGCTAGTGCTCGACTTACAACCACGATTGGTTCTGGCAGACCGATCGTAACACGATTTGGTCGTAAGTTGAGTAGGCTATATGTACAGTCCTGTGAAATGATGTTATAAAAATCTTTAAGTCATATTTTATCATAATTTTCTTTCATTATTGTTATATATCATAATTTTCTTTGTTCATTTTATGCCATTTGTATCATCTCTACACCATTTCGTTGCTTATTTTTACTTTCGTCAGGTTTAAGTAAAACACTGCATTACCAGTACAACTGGTTTAATATTTGCAAAACATACAAAATTACAAAATACAGGTGCATACAAAAATACAAAATACAGGTGTAAGAAATACCATAGGAAACATTTTCCCAATTGCAAAACATATCAAAATATATAAACATGTACAAAGAATTTTATTGGCCGCTGGTGCTTGGCTGCGGATCGTTGATGTCATCATCTGAGGCAGCAGTTGGGGTTACCGGAGTTGGTTTTTTTATAAACATGGTGAGCTTTGTCTGAATTGTATGTTTCTTTTTTTCTTCATAAATTTCACGATACGGATGAAACACATCGTGCGCCATCCGTTCAATCCTTGCAAATCGTTCGATGTTTGGGTCCATTGCTTCGAAATGTATAAGAAGTTTATTGGGAGGGGTTTGATGAAAAATATCCAAGACACAAAACACAAATTGCTGTACCGAGTCTGGGATAACAGTTGAAATGGTGCACACGGAGATGGTAGTGCTGCCAGAAGCTGGTCCACACTGTCATACGCCCAGCTGGGCAACGTTTGCGCTGCCAGACGCGGAGCAGTCATGGCTAGCCATTGTGGTAGTAAAGTCGAATGGTCGTAAGTTGCATAGGTCGTAAGTCGATCAATACCTGTATACCTATTTGATGTTTGGGAGGAACAGAGAGGGAAGAAAGAAAAAATCTAAAAGCAATTACTTCCGTATGTTTAGACTATGACACAGAGAAAATCACCAAAGCAGGAAGTTCACTCCAGGAAATTAAATATATTAGCACTGGTCCTAATACTGATCATAAGAGAAAACACAAGGCAGTTCCTAAGATTTACATTTTGTTTGACTATTTACAGCTGTATGTTATAGTTTCATATCTGAAATTTAATGATCAATGCCCTGTGATGACAACAAAAATACCATTCTGCTGATGTCACTATTTGTTATTATTATTCCAGGTATCCGTTTCTGTTACCAATTCTGGAGCAGGAGTATGTGGCCAAAGAAATTTTAAATGCTATTTTGGAGGAACAAGTTTATTTAATGATACACAAATTTTTATATATTGCATTGATTCTTAAACAGTAAGTTAATAATGGCCTCACTATCATTCTGGTTATTGTGAACAAATTGTCCAAACACTGCTACCTCTTTTGCATGGAAAGAAACTTTATGTATTTTTTAATGGTAAGAGGAAGAATCTTAATAGTACAGAAACAACTAACTATCGCTGTGTTTTGGTTGCTTCAGGCGCTGACTCAATTGAACAATTATTTAGGTCTTGCAGAACACACATTTTTTTAACACAAACAAGTAACACAAATTATTTGGGGCTTTTGTTTGTTTTTTATATTTTTGGTTTTGGTCAACTAGTTTGATTAGTGTAGAGCTCTACTTTGAAAACAAAGGACAAAAAAACACAAGTGTGTTGCCAAAAAATATATATTAAGAATATTTTACAAGTTCTTCATTTTATTTTGTGAAATAGCTCCGGCAACTTCATACAAGGCCTGTGCTACGAGTTTCAGGTATTTGCTAATGGATTCCACCCAGGTCCACATCTAGCATTTATGGGGTGACTACTACCTGCCAGCTACTGTGCTGATAGCTTTTTGTGAATTTTATCAATTTAGGAAATCTGAGGTTTAAAGACAGTAATTTTTGCAGGGTTAAACAACTAATATATGCTATAACAAAGTTTCAAACCCAAGTTTCCAATTTGATTACAGAGCTTAAGTTCCTACCCTCAGGAAATACTCCCCCTCTGCTGTGAGAACTAGCAGAGTAGAAGGCACAAGCAGAGATTCACTATTACAAAATTATGTTATTGATAAACACAGTACTTTCCTTACTATTTATATCTATCCAATGTATTTCCTATGCAACCTTAGCTGCCCTGATTGCTTAGCTACGTCCCTCATTGTACATTCCATCATAGCTGACCCTGGTTTTTGGCACACTCATCACACCTGTAGTTACTTACTACCTTGTATGTTTCCTGAGGACAAAATATATTGTCTGAATTGTTTCCCGCTCCTTGCCCTAGCCTAGGACAATACCTAATGTGTAATTACATGCAATAAATATTTGCCACATCGAGTTGAATTGAGCAAAACTGAACTGAAGATACAGCCTCTATCCTCAAAGAACTAAAACAATGGTTCTTCATCTTGGGTGCACATTGTAATTACCCAGGGAATATTTAAAACCACGGATACCTGGGCCCTACCCTCCAGAGATTCGGCTTTAACTGGTCCAGTTTTCTTTCTAGATTTTTCTACCTTTTGTTAGTCTAGTAAGTAGGGATATATGTAGTCTTCCACAGAACTCAGGGGATGTTATATAGGGATAAACTGTGGCCTGAACATTGGGGCTTTTCAAAGCTCCAGTGATTCCAAGGTGTAGCCAGGGTCAAGAGCCACTTGCATTGAGGATGGTGATGGCACTTGGATGTGACACAGAACTATCCTCTTCAGCCCTCCCATTAAGTGACATTTTAAACTTTGTATAATTTGCACTCACTCTTTGCAAAGTAGTTAATTTGACTCTTCTTAAAGAATTATAATTTTTTCTCTGCTTTTCTCCTAGAATAATGTCTCGAAAAATGTTGATTGCCTTTGGTGACTACCTTGGAGTGGACACTTGCACGGCTTCTTTCAAAAGGAGAAAGAAAACAAATGAACTTTAGACTGAAACTGAAAGGAAACACCAATAGCTTAAGCCTCAAACATGGGAATGAAAAAGTGTTATAAGGATGAACTATTTGCAATTCCTTGTAATGCTTAAAGCATCACAGTCTACCAAGGATTACTGAAGCTTTCAACAGTGTCAATTTTATTTCCTGGACATAGTTTACACACCAACTATTTTTCTAAGCATTCAAGTTATCTATCCATTTTTTTTAGCTTCATAAATAAGGACATTACAGTCTTTTCAATGGACTTCGAACATAATATGTTCATAAAAACATATTAATGCAAGTTGATCCTAATTTAATTTTAAAATAGGTAATATATAATACCTTTGAAAGAGAGATAATTATAAATAGTGACCTTATAAATCAGTTTTTTATGTTGATAATTTTTCAACATCAGCTTTAAAAATACATATTAATTTCATAATTAAGAAAAATAATATTTACCTCACAAAGTAAAGGCATATTTGTGTTGCCTATTCATTCCTAGTAGAGTTGGATGTTCATATCAAGGCCCTTAGTGGGATTGAACCTGAATATTTGATAAAATAAATCTGTCACTTATTTTTATTATATCCGAATGTGTCAAACAACTTTTAGCTCTTTTACTCCACTAAAAAAAAAGTGTACATTAGAATCATATACACTACTGGTTTGAAAATGAAACATTTTCATGCTTAATTCAACAAAATGCTATTTTAACTGATGTATTTGAATACATGATATAAACATCCTTTTAAAATTTATCCTCATGAGAAATGGTCACATGTGCTAGCTATGCGGCAAACATTCCAAACAATGTCACCTCTGAACTGGAAATGGTTCTTGAGCTGTAGTCACTACATAATAGTCTAGCTTTATCTCCACTGGGCTTCAGAGCTACCGAATAATGGTAAAACCAAAAACTGAAATTTCAAGTAAATTAAAGTATACATTCAGTTAACCAAAAAGTGAGCACTTATTTTATCAGATCTGACAAAATATCACCTATTTTATCAGATCTATCCTAGTATTTGGGACATAATATTTCTACATTCATGCAAACAAAAAGCATAATACAACATGAGATGAAAAAATGAGAAAAAATTTTAATTTAATACAGGAATAAAACAAATAAAGCAAGCAATATTTGTAAGAAAATAAAACTTATCTTTTAACAACTTCTTGAGCAAAACCCTAAAATTTTTATATTTCTCCCTTCTTAAATCGACTATTCAAAGCAAAGTTTAACTTTTCTTTATTGCTGCAGGAGCATTAACATATTTTTGCCTAGCTCAGTTGACACCCAGCAGTGGCTTTTGAAGGGCCATTTACTTCTAAACAAACTGATCCACAACCCCTTACTCAGGTGTCAGAAGACCTGACCTATCAGCTTTTGCTTCACTCAGCCAAGAATGCATTCTGCTACGTGTAAAGCTGAATCCGTAAGATGTACTGCTAACGGCATGCCTCATATGTCTATGTATTTGTGTGTTGTGTACACAATGTTTCACTACTGAAAATATACTTTAAAAAGCTCTAATTAATTGGCATAAGAAAATAAAAGCACTTGAATTAAATACTTTATGTGAAAAAAAGAAGAGACTAGTCAAATGCTTTTTCAAGTTTATGCAACTTAACTAAAATCTTTAACTTCCCCAACCTAGCAAGGTAGGCCAATATTCAAGTCCAGGAAATACAGAGAACACCACAAAGATATTCGTCAAGAAGAGCAACCCCAAGGCACGTAATCATCAGATTCACCAGGGTTGAAATGAAGGAGAAAATGCTAAGGGCAGCCAGAGAGAAAGTTTGGATTACCCACAAAGGGAAGCCCATCAGACTCACAGCGGATCTCTCAGCAGAAACCCTACAAGCCAGAAGAGAGTGGGGGGCCGATATTCAACATCCTTAAAGAAAATAACTTTCAACCCAGAATTTCATATCCAGCCAAACTAAGTTTCATAAGTGAAGGAGAAATAAAATCCTTTATGAACAAGCAAGTACTCAGAGATTTCATCACCACCAGGCCTGCTTTATAAGAGCTCCTGAAAGAAGCACTAAACACAGAAAAGAACAACAAGCACCAGCCACTCCAAAAATGTACCAAATGGTAAACAGCATTGACACAAGGAAGAAAGCGCATCAACTAACGGGTAAAACAACCAGCTAGCATCAAAATGGCAGAATCAAATTCACACATAACAATATTCACCCTAAATGTAAATGGGCTAAATGCCCCAATCAAAAGACACAGACTGGCGAATTGGATAAAAAGCCAAACCCATCGGTGTGCTATATCCAGGAAACCCACCTCACATGCAAGGATACACATAGGCTCAAAATAAAGGGATGGAGGAAGATTTACCAAGCAAATGGAGAGCAAAAAAAAAAAAAAAAAAAAAAGCAGGAGGTGCAATCCTAGTCTCTGATAAAATGGACATTAAACCAACAAAAATCAAAACAAAGGAGGACATTACATAATGGTAAAAGAATCAATGCAACAAGAAGAGCTAACGATCCCCAACAAACTAGGCATAGAAGGAATGTACCTCAAAATACTAAGAGCCATCTATGCCAAACCCACAGCCAGCATCATACAAAACAGAGAAAAATTGAAAGCATTCCCTCTAAGAATTGGAACAAGACAAGAGTGCCCACTTTACCACTCTTATTCAGCACAGTATTGGAAATACTAAGAGGTTAATTTATAGCAGTAAATGCCCACATCAATAAGGTAGAAAAATTTTAAATGACCCAATGAGTCACCTCAAGGAACTAGAAAAGAGAAAATAAACCAAACTCTGAATTAGTAGAAGGAAAGGAACAATAAAGATCAGAATATAAACAAATAGAGACCAAAAAGACAATAAAAGAGATCAACAAAACAAAACTGGTTTTTTGAAAAGATAAAATTAACAAGCCATTAATAATCTAATAGCAAGGCTGCCTAAGCAAAAATAAAGAAAGGCACAAATAAATAAAATCAGAAATAAAAAAAGAGGCATGCAGCTGATATCACAGATACACAAAGCATCATGAGAGAATATTGTTAACAAGTATATAACAAATTGAAAAATTTAGAAGAAAGGGATAAATTCCTTGTTGTACACAATCTACCAAGAGTCAACCAAAAAGAAATAGAAAACTTGGAGACCAATAATGAGTAATGATAACAAATCAGTAATAACATTTCTCCTAAGAAAGAAAATCTCAAGACCTCATGATTTTACTGCTGAATGATATCAAACTTATAAACACTAATGCCAATTCTCAAACTATTCCAGAAAAGTGAAGGGAAGGGAATTCTTTCTGATACATTCTATAAGGCAGCATTACCTTGACACCAGAACCAGTGTCTGGTTCATTGCTATACATATCTATATACCTATATCTATATCTATATCAATATGTCATTACATATATAAGCATATGGAGAGGTATATATAATATTTATATATTTTATAAATAATATAAAATGTTACATATATAAATATTTTCTTTATAGTAGTAGTATTCTATATACGGTAGTATAGTGGTATTCCATGTTTATGTATATATAAACATTTTCTTTCTCCAGTCCATTATTGATGGATACTTAGGTTGATTTCATATCTTTGCTATTGTAAATAGTGCTGTGAAAAACATAGACATGCAAGTATCTTTTGGTATAATGATTTCTTTCCTTTGGATATTTGCCCAGTAATGAGATTGATGGATCAAATGGTAGTTTTATTTTTCAGTTCTATGAGAAATCCCTATATTATTTTCGACAAACGTTGTACAAATTTACTTTCCCAGCAACAGTGTGTGTTTCCTTTTCTCCACATCCTCAGCAATGTCTTGTTTTTTTTTTTTCACTTTTTAACGATAGCCATTCTAACTCATGTAAGATAGTATATTATTGTGGTTATAATTTGCATTTCTCTGATGACTAATCATGTTGAGCATTTTTTCTTTTTTTTAACGTGTATTTTATTGTGTTTTAGGTTTTAGGGTACATGTGAAGAACATGCAAAATTGTTGCATAGGCACATACATGGCAATGTGGTTAGCTGCCTTCCTCCCCATCACCTATATCTGGTATTTCTCCCCATATTATCCCTCCTCAACTCCTCACCCCACGCTGTCCATCCCCTAGTTCCCCCTGCAAACCCCAGTGTGTGATGCTCCCCTTCCTGTGTCCATGTGTTCTCCTGTTCAACATCTACCTGTGAGTGAGAACATGCCATGTTTGATTTTCTGTTCTTGTGTCATTTTGCTGAGAATGATGGTTTCCAGGTTCATTCATGGTTACTCTTGCCCTGTAGTATAGCTTGAAGTCCAGCTGCATGATGCCACCAGCCTTGTTCTTTTTGTTTAGCATTGTCTTGGCTATGCAGGCTTTTTTTTTTTGGTTCCATATGAAGTTTAAAGTAGTTTTTTTCAGGTCTGTGAAGAAGGTCATTGGTAGCTTGATGGGGATAGCATTGAATCTGTAAATTACTTTAGGCAATATGGCCATTTTCATGATATTGATTCTTCCTAACCATAAGCATGGAATGTTTCTCCATCTGTTTGTGTCCTCTCTTATTTTATTGAGCAGTGGTTTATAGTACTCCTTGAAGAGGTCCTTTTCATTCTTTGTTAGTTGTATTCCTAGATAGTTTATTCTCTTTGTAGCAATTGTGAATGGCAATTTTTTCTTGATTTGGCTGTCTTTAAGTCTGTTATTGGTGTATAGGAATGCTTGTGATTTTTGCACATTGATTTTGTATCCTGAGACTTTGCTGAAGTTGCTTATCAGTTTCAGGAGAGTTTAGGCTGAGATAATGGGGTTTTTTAAATATACAATCATGTCGTCTGCAAATATAGACAATTTGACTTCCTCTTTCCTAACTGAATATCCTTTATTTCTTTTTCTTGCCTAATTTCTCTGGCTAGAACTTCCAATCCTACACTGAATAAGAGTGGAGAGAGAGGGCATCCCTGTCTAGTGCCAGATTTCAAAGGGAATGCTTCCAGTTTTTGCCTGTTCAGTATGATGTTGGCTGTGGGTTTGTCATAAATAGCTTTTATTATTTTGTTTCATTGATACCTAGTTTATTAAGAGTTTTTTAGCATAAAGGGCTGTTGAATTTTGTCAAAGGGCTTCTCTGCATCTATTGAGATAATCATGTGGTTTTTGTCTTTGGTTCTGTTTATATGATGGATTATGTTTATAGACATGCATATGTTGAACCAACATTGCATCCTCAGGATAAAGCCTACTCAATCATGGTGGATAAGTTTTCAATGTGCTGTTGCACTTGATTTGCCAGTATTTTATTGAAGATTTTTGCATCAATGTTCATCATGGATAGTGACCTGAAGTTTTCTTTTTTAGTTGAGTCTCTGCTGGGTTTTGGTATCAGGATGATGTTGGTCTGGTAAAATGAGTTAGGGAGGATTCCTTTTTTTTTTTTGTATTTCTTGGAATAGTTTCAGAAGGAATGGTACCAGCTCTTCTTTGTATGTCTGGTAGAATTTGGCTGCGAACCTATCTGGACCTGGACTTTTTTTGGTTGGTATGCTATTAATTGTTGCCTCAACTTCAGCCCTTGTTACTGGCCTATTAAGGGTTTCAACTTCTTTCTGGTTTAGTCTTGAGAGGGTGCAAGTGTCCAGGAATGTACCCATTTCTTCCAGGTTTACTGGTTTA